ACTTCTTTGTGGCATTTATTGGTTCTATGGAATTTACCTGTTTATTTATGTTTATTGTAAATTGTGAAAATAAATAATTGGACTGTTTTGTTTAGCTCGTCACTACTACTCAGTTCCTTAGTTATTTTTGTTACTACTGAGGTGGTTGTACTCATACTACACCCTGCACTTTATGTGCAGATCCAGGTGAATTAGAGCGCATCGATCGTTGAGTTCAAGCCGGCTATCTTTGGAGACTGCAAGGTAGCTGCTGGCGTCTGCAGGGCCTTGTTACTCCTCTTGTCATTTCTTCTTTTGGACAGTTAGATAGTTTATATATCTTAGTTTATAATTTTAGACGCTCATGACTTAGTGACACCCCGATGTTTGGGGCTAGCTTCCGTATTTTTATATTAATTATATTTAGAGTTGATTTAGTTTATGGGAAATTTGAATGTTGGTATTGTTTTATTAAATCCTTAAAATTAATTAGTAGTAATATTTTGGGAAGTAGGCTTGCCTTGTAACACGATAGGCTCCATCACGACCATGATTATATTTTGGGTCGTGACATACTCACTATTTTTGTCAGTCGTTTGAAAACATTAAAAGTTGTTTTAAAAAGAGTTTTACTGTAACTAAGCTTGATTTACGAGGTAAATAATTTCGTGTACTGCATTGAAAATGATCTACATTTGTTGTATACGTGTTTTCTTACCGCTCAGCTTTCATTTACTTTTATTACTTACTGAGTTGGGGTACTCACATTACTCCATACACCTTGTGTGCAGATTCAGGTAGTTCTGAACCCGGTAGCGGGTGTTAATTGCTTCGTGGCAAAGTCATTGGAGTTAACAAGATAGCTGCCCGGCGTTCGCAGCACTGCTTTTCTCCCTATTGTCTTCCTTAGACTGTATTTAGTATATTCTTAGACTCTTGTTGTATTCAGACCTTAGTAGATGCTCGTGACCTGTGACACCCCGATGTCGGCTGGTGTATTTATTCCGCAGTATTCATTTAAACTTACATTATGAGATATTTGGATAAATTAAAAGCTTAAAAATGAATTATTATTGATTAATGGTTAATTCGAGAGTTGTGTCGGCTGACCTAGTTTCACGATAGACGCCATCACGACCGGGTCGGTTTTAAGGTCGTGACAATACTGCGCATCCAAAAATTCTTAAATGGGATATATTAGGTTCATAACCCAATACTAATTGCAACGGGGAATATTTATGATAAATTGTTGGTCTGAGATGAACTAGCATTGCTGCATTCAAAATGGTGTGACCCCAAACAGAAGTGGGCAGCCTTACTTTTTATGAGTAACAGTCTTGCTATCAATTGCAGACATTTAATTAAAGACTCTGCAAGACCATTTTGAGTGTGAATATGAGCTACAAAACTCAGTAGCATTATCAAGTCTAATAGACTTAATTGGATTATCGGAAAATTGGGCTCGTAATCGAATTATTTGTGCCATTAATTTTGCAAACGTGAGGTTGCAAAATGACAATACACATGAGACCATCTAGAAGATGCATCTATTAAGACCGTAAAATATCTAAATGACCCACTAGGTGGGTGAATGGGTCCACAAATGTCCCCTTGTATACGTTCCAAAAATGCAGGGGACTCAATCCCAACCTTTATTGGTGATGGTCTAATAATTAACTTGCCTTGATAACAAGAAGTACAAGAAAATTTATTATTTAAAAGAATCTTTAAATTCTTTAATGGATGCCCATTTGAGTTTTCTATAATTCGTCTCATCATAATTTATCCAGGGTGTCTCAATCGATCATGCCAAAGTACAAAAGTATTGGAATCAGTAACCTTTTGATTTACGGTAGAATGTGCCTCAATTGCACTAATTCTTATCCAATATAGGCTACAAGATAAAGATGGGAACTTCTCTATAACCCTATTTTGGCCAGAGACATTCTTGGTAATGATGAGATATTCAAGATTATTCTCATCTATTGTCTCAATATGATATCCATTTTGGCGGATATCTTTAAAACTCAACAAATTCCTCTTGGACTTGGAGGAGAACATTGCATTCTCTATGATAAGTATTGCTCCCTTAGGCAGAGATATAGTAGCTTTTCCAGAGCCTTACTACTACCAAAAATTGTAGTAACATATGCCTTACACATACTTAAATGAGAGAAATATTTCTTCTCTTTGAATATTGTATGTGTCGTACATGAATCAACTAAACAAATATTTTTACAATTAAACATTGATCCAAGTTCGCTTAGTGAGGTATCCATATTTGCTTTCCATGATTTCACATACAAAAGAAATATACAAATAAACATTAGTATTTTCAAAGAAAAGGAAAAGAAAACAAATTAAGTCAATGATTCAATAATGATTTTTAAATGCAATTTTGAGTAAATTCTATTTATGATACAAACAATTACATAGTAAACATAATACAATTATGGACGGTGACATTCAGTTTTTGGAGAGGTATGCTTACTCCCGTTTTATGTGCAAACTGCTTTTTATCCTTGTTTTAATGTGATGAAACCCCAGATATCAAAGGAGATTCTTATCTCTTTTTGGCTGTTAAAGTCATCTCCTTCACAATGTTTTACTTTTCTTTGCACATACAGACAAAAAATGCATTTATATTGTAGATAACAATGTGTTTAGAATTTGTTTGCTTTCATCTTCATACGGCGCATATGTGCTAAGAAAAACTGTGACAAACATCCTTAGTGCTATAGTAGTCTTTCTTGTTACAAGTGACATAGAGTACTAATATTGCATAAAACAAATACTAGAATTATATTTAATCTAAACGAACTAATACTATTCCATAAAATAAATAGTACTTATTTGTACTAATGACTACTACTCATGTAAAAAATTATGATTACATGATGTTTATTCATTAACTACTACGAATAGGCAAAAATAAAAATTAAACTACTCAATCATCTTTAACCACGGATCCATCACCGATCAAGTGGTCTATTTTTCCATCAGGGTGCTCAAAGAAGTCTGTCACATCCAAGTGAGTGATGTCAAAATCATTGTCGAAGACAAAATTGGCTTCAGGACCTTTATTCTTTAGAGATGCTTGATAAAGCTCAACCAAATGTCTTGGTACACGATAAATATTTGCCCAATGCCCTTTTCCACCGCAACGATAACATTCAGTTTCTAAACCATTTGCCTTTGGCTACTCATCTTTCCCTTTCCATTTTTGGTGGTTATTTTTTTGGGGGGTGATTAACACCAGAAAAATTTCTTCCTTGTCCACGGCCACGACTACGAATAAGGCCATGGCCTTTTCCACGCTTGGCATAATGGGAATACACCTCATCCACTTCAGGCAATGGTGTAGACCCAATGGGTCGATTTTCGTGATTTCTCATGAGCAAGTCATTATTTCGTTCAGCTACAAGGAGAAGAGAAATCAACTCAGAGTGCTTCTTGAAACCTTTCTCTTGGTATTGCTGTTGCAAGAGCATATTGGAGGCATGAAACATTGTGAACGTTTTTTCAAGCATATCATAGTCGATGATAGTATCTCCACAGAGTTTCAATTTAGAAGTAATTCTGAACATCGCAGAATTATATTCAGAGACAAACTTAAAGTCTTGGAGCCTCAGATGAGCCCAATCATATCGTGCTTGTGGAAGAGTGACCAACTTTAAGTTATCATATCTTTCCTTTAAGCCATTCCACAAAACAAGTGGATCTTTGACTGTGAGATATTCTATTTTCAACCCTTCATCAAGGTGATGCGCAAGAAAATCAAGGCCTTAGCACAGTCTTGGGTAGATGCTTTATTTTTGTCTTTAATGGCGTTTCCAAGACCCATTGCATCTTATTCAACACCCATGTCATATAGTTCTTGCCCGAAGTTTCAAGGGCAACGAACTTTTTTTCATAATATCAGTCATAATTAAAAAGAGGAGAAAAGTTATACCTTAATCTTCTTAAAGAGCTTCCTGAGACGGTAGAGTCTCGTGCTGATAACGTAAAATAAAAAATAAGGAAAAGAATAATATTGCAAGGAAAAGAGAGAGGTAATTCTTATTAAATTTTGGGAAGATTTACAATGATGTAAGACCCTCTATTTATAGGGGAAAAATGACTTAGCCACAAAGTAAAACTCTTTAAAAGATAGATATTCACTCTAAATAGAATTCTATTTATAACATTGTTGTTGTTGTTGTAGATAATTATCACTGGATTCATATTTTAGAAACTTTTATAAATTGTAATTTGTCTTTTATGCCCTTTAATTCAAACGTTGTCCACGATTGTGTAAAGACAGTTCAAATAAAGACAATTTTTACTAATACTATTTTATTTCTAAAGATCCATATTATGAATTTTTAAGAATAATATGAACCAAACAATTTATATTTTAAATTACCATGTGTTAAGAAAAAAATGGAATTGCATTAATAGGTCCCAGCTCTTGTGGACGTTATAGGGAGTGGTTGTATACTATATTCTCTTCCGTAGTCCCATAAAAGTACAGCTCGTTGGAAACATTCATTAGTCCCATTTATTTGATATCATAATCACCTCAACATATGTGCTATATCACTATTTATTTTTATTTATAGGGACACTCCATCTAGATTATTTCAAATACAAGTACCTCCTATTTTATTTTTGAGAATAAGGGTTTCTAAAAAGAAGGAATTGACACATTTATGCACCACACATTCGACGAACAAGAAAATATGGTCTCATTCAGCTGGCTATATGAGGAAAAAAAATTGAACATAAAATTGTGCACTATGTTTTTTGATATCAATTTTACATTGCTTAACATTTGATTTTCAGTCTAAGATTTTTTTACAACTAATATGTTACGGTATATAATATATTGTTCGTGATCGAATATTCAATAAAAATAGATAGGTAATCGAATATTCAATAAAAATAGATAGAAATCGAAGTGTAATTTCAAAAACAATATAAAAGATATGTATAATTAGGGTGTCCTCTAATTTAATCCAAACGTGTATCCGCGTGCTCCTTTTTTCTTCTTTCCGTTTTTAATGGTCTAACCATATATGACATTCCAAAATTGGATTTGAAAAGTCAAATCTTCAAATTTCTGATTATTAGGGTTTGTTGGTTGGAGAGATTAACTGAGCCCTAAGCTCAGCTCAAAGAGAGAGAAAGAGAGAGAGAAACCTCCAACCTAACAAACCCTAAGATTCGTATGAGAACAAATCAAGAAAATTCTTGGGGCATTTAAAAAACATATTATTTGGAGCTCTTAGCTTTTGTGATTGCAATTATCATCCATAAAGGTGCAATCTTTGAATCCTTCTTCTTTGTTTTTATTGTGGGTCTCTGCTTAACAGTCTAATCTTATTAGTATTATTATTATTGTTTTTTTTTTTTTTTTTTTTGTGTGTGTGTGTGGATGAAAACGCTTGAGTTTGTGTGATTCTTTTGTTCCTGTGTCTCCTGCATTTATTGTACATAAAGATGCAAACTTTGAATCCCTATTATGTTTAGGCTATTGGTGGTTTGAAAGCAATCCTTTCTACGTGAGCTTCACATTGCTGGCTTGGGGCGCTATTTATTTGGGGTGGTGGGGGATGTATCCCCAAATTATTGATTATTGGAATGAAACATGCCGAAATAGAGGGAGAGGATATAGAGACTTTATATAGGCGATCCAACGAGATTGAGTTTGGAGCGGTATATTATAGGTTAAATATCGACTACCTAATCCAACTAGAACTTGTTGCGCTCCTGCTACTAAGAAATTCAACAGTCCCATTTTATTGGACACGGATAGAGCAGTAATGGATAATGTATTCATATAAACAATTTCAACTGATTTGGCATTGCGGCTTATTTATTGATGTTTTGGTTCTTTACTTCTCTCTAAGAGGGGGCTGTTAATTTAGATGAATAAGCAATAGTTTCTTCATGCTCCTTTTTTTTAGAAAAAAAATAGTTAAGTCTTTGTGCGGCTCTTCTTGACTAGGTTTAACTTAATATGAGATCGAAGGAACAATTGTCTTGCTCGTCTTGGACCTTGTCGTGCCTATTTGGGCTGGTTAGGCTCATGCAATGCTGGCATCAATGAGGAATGCTACTAAAAGAATATCAGATCAAAGGAGACTCTTTTAATATTACCTACATATGCATTAATGTTTATTGCCTCCAAGTACAGTTGTTTTACCAAGTTTAATTTTTCATGGTTTCTTTCTCATGATATTCTCTTTCATGTTCAGTAGGTTTCTGGGTTCTCAAAAGTTATATTGGAGAAGGGAGGTAGTGAATGAATTGATGCTTGTTAATAAATGTACTGAGCGTGATGATAGTTCTTGTGTATAGTGGTGATGGTTGTGTTTTTTCCTATAAAGAGGTGCAAGAAAATCAGCTGTGGTTGATCAGCCGACATGCCGAGTAATTATCTTTTCAGATTAAGCCGCGCAGCTAGGCAGGGACTCCAGAAATCTATTTCTGGGCAAGAAAGTGGGCTCCAGGACTCAGTAGAGATTTTGGTTGGCCAAGGGAGATTGTTGTTGGGCAATTCAAAGAGCTTCTATTCCATACCATTTGCAAGATCAGGTGACCTAAATGTGTTTGTTCGGCCTGGAACTTTAGCTGCCACACAGGCGAATTTGCATATGGTCAACCAGAAAAAGAATCTTTCTGCAGTTGGATCTATTTCTCGTGCAATTTCTATTCCATCTGTATCAGGGCCTGCATTTCAGGTCTGTGGCTATCACATTGATCGCATGATATCTGAGCCTACTCACGGTTTGTTGGACGCTAACTATCACAAAGCACCTATGGAGATCTATGGTTCAAGAACTTCTCTGCCTGGCTGTTCCTCTAGTAAAATGGCTTCAAGGCATCTCAATCCTGTTTTGGCTGTAAATAGTCCAGTTACTTCTTATAGCAATAGAAGCTTTAATTGTAGAAAAGCCAGCATGAGTTTGAGAAATAAAAATCAGCCCAACAACTNTTTTGTCCAATTGTAGGAATATCCACATTGACAGAACCCTGAAGCTAAACTCAGGATCATGTTACCTGCCTCATCCTGACAAAGAAGAAACAGGTGGAGAGGATGCTCATTTTATTTGTGGTGATGAACAAGCAATTGGTGTAGCTGATGGTGTTGGTGGTTGGGCGGATCTTGGGGTTGATGCTGGGCAGTATGCACGAGAGCTCATGTCTAACTCAGTAACTGCGATTCAAGATGAACCAAAACGTTCAGTGGACCCAGCCAGGGTCCTCGATAAAGCTTATACATGCACAAAAGCCAAAGGTTCCTCAACTGCCTGTATAATCGCCCTTACCGATCAGGTACATGTGCAATTCTAGATCTCCTATTCTAATTCATGAAGCTTGGGCTTTAGAAAATGGTGTCTTGATTAAGTTGGAGTATGTATTGGTTTGAGCTTGGCCGTTGATCCATTGGTGTCTTCAGATGTTGAGGATTCTTTTAATTTGATGTTTCCCTTATACACCAGACTTCTTGACATTTTAGTAATGTATATAACTAGGTGCACAGAACTTTCTTCTAGTCTTGTGATTAAAACAGATAATAAAAGATTAATATGGTAACTTTAGAAGGCAGTTAAAACTTATAAAAAGAAATGAATCTAGAACTTAACATCATTAAGTTAACTTATCATTTTTCCTCTCTTTCCAGGGCCTGCATGCCATTAATTTAGGAGACAGTGGATTTATGGTGGTTAGAGATGGATGTACTGTTTTCAGATCTCCTGTGCAGCAGCATGATTTCAATTTCACATATCAACTAGAGAGTGGTAATTCTGGTGACTTACCAAGCTCTGGAGAGGTCAGTAGTGCCCCCCTTTTTTCTTAATGTAGAACTCGTGTGGTAATGTAGAACTTAGTTTAGTGCTTCCGTTTTTCAAAAATCTGGACAACATTTTTCATACTCAAATAAAAGATATTTCAGAAGCCTTTTTTATTGTGTTGTTCGTTGTTGACTGTTCTATGTCATTCAGAGAGCAAAGAGTTGGGGTTCAGGTGGTGTTTTTAGATTGTTCTCTTACAGTTTTGTACAATAATTTTTTTTGTTAAACATAATATGAAGAAAAACCTTTTCAATTGTGTTCAAATATATTCCCTACTGGTTTACTCGTAGTGGTGAATCTTGAGAAGTGTACCATGCTTTAGAAATCTGTTATTCTGTTTTTAGACTTCTAGCTAAAATTGCCTTGTGGTTCTTGTCCTCTATATTTGTTTCGTAGTTTTGACAAATGTCACTTCTTTTCAGTTATTGACCAGAACTTTTGGTGATGCCAATAACATCCTGTCTTGTGATCACTATATTTCTTTTTTATTTTGTATCACAGTTCTCTCTTAATCTGAATGACTTGCCTGTGCTGCAGGTGTTCAAAATACCGGTGGCACCAGGAGATGTTATAATAGCTGGTACTGATGGGTTGTTCGACAATTTGTACAACAATGATATTACTGCAATTGTGGTTCATGCAGCAAGAGCTGGCTTAGGGCCACAGGTGACAGCTCAAAAGATAGCTGCATTGGCTCGGCAAAGAGCACAGGATAAAAACAGGCAGACCCCTTTCTCTGCTGCAGCTCAAGAAGCTGGGTTCCGTTACTATGGCGGGAAGCTGGACGATATAACTGTGGTTGTGTCCTACATAAGCAGTGACAGAAATGTATGAGCACTCTATATCCACCACCACCCCTTCTTTTATTCTCCATAGCTTGCAGGTTTTAGATTCTTAATTTGCCTACATTTGTCCAATCTATTTGCATGGACATGACAAGACGTCAGTTCAGTTCAGCACTGGATATGCTAAATTGTTCTATCATACTTTTACACTAAACAGCTTTGTCAACCTTTCAAACACAGCCCCTACTTCATTTTTCTCTCCTAATATCAATTTTACTACCTGTGGAGGACGCTGTATCTTGTTTCAATACCCCAAGTTTCCGTTAAAATTTACCTTATCAACAAAAAAAATCCCCAAAAGTTTCCTTTTAAAAACATTACCTCATGCCTATGTTGCCCCTACTCTTCATTTAAGTTTGTCTTCATTCTGGCATTCCCTATGGAGCATATCATTTTAGTATTTTGATGACATCTGTAGTGCGCAGTTGGCATTGGTTTTATATGGCTCAATTATTACGATATCGTTACTATTTTGATTAATCTAGGTTTCTTTCTTAAAAAATTTATGGTTTTTAATAGAAATTATTCTATTTCCTAGTTTCTACTCTTTCACATCATTGTTTTACAAAAAGCTTCCTCCATTTTAACATATTATTCAATATAGCGTCACTTATCAAACCACTGCTGTGTTATAATTTAAATTTAGGTAGTTGATAGTGCTTTTCTCATAGTTACTTTTGATTTTTCGTCCTGTATTTTGGTTTGAATTGATTGGTGATGTAGGTTATATTCTTATACTTCATCAAAAGGTTTGTTTTTAGTTGCTTAAGTCCATTTCCTTGTTCAAAGTAGAAGCTGAAGCTTACTTTGTGTTTGATTTTATAGAAAATGGAAACTGATGTTGTTCTATACGACTATACCTGTTATGTGCAGGAAAGATCCAATGGCTTACAGATGTAGTTGCGAGCTTTCCTACTTGCTTTGAAACGCTTGGCTTGGGGGCACTAAGCTCCATTTAAAGGGGATGTCAAACCTTGCATAATATCGTGTGAATCTGTCGAATATCACTTCTGATTTACTTGTTTCTTGGCAATTTACCCCCTCTTTCCAACTTCATGGACCTCACCCAAAAAAAGGTAGATCGTGAACCTCTCCCTCTCTTTCTCTCTCTCCCTCTCCGCTTAGGGGAAGATCATGAGTGCTGATCATGTATATGGAATAGGTGTTAGACAGAAAGGTGCGCCTACGGTGCTTGATATAGGAATTGTCTTTCTGGAAATATGTTGGTTTCCATAGAATGCTAGCTAGGACACATTAACTAGCAGAATGAAGCTTTCTTGAATTCTTTGGAACTTAATTCTTGTCATCTTTCGATTGTAATAATTCTTGGACATGATTTTCCCACTGGCTGTAAATAGATGAGCATTTTCGTTGCTTTATTTGGTTGTGACAGCTAGTCGAAATTTTTAATTCTGTAAAATCTCTGAGCTGGTCTGACTTTCTATACTGATAATTTAAGTCTGGTCTTTGAAGATCAAATATTGATATTCCAACATGCTAATATTTGAGTAGAGAGGAAATTATGAGATAGGTCACTACACCTTGTATATATTTTTCAAACTGAGATGAACTTAAATGCAGCTCTTGGTGATCAATAAAAGCATTTTAAATGTTACCAAAAAAAAAAAAAATGCAGCGAGATGGACAGTATTACCTGAGATTTGACATAAGCTCTACGGCTTACTTAACCAAGAAATGCAGGGGTGTAAGTCAGGGTCGTTAATATTACAATATTTTTGTCTGAAAGTGATTGTCTTATTTTCCTTTAAACAAAATGAAACGATGTTACCTATGTAGGATCACAATACTTTACAGGGACGATGGTTCCTTACTCTCAAACTTAATTACGTCTAAGTCACAATCTGCATCAATTTTTTTCGAGTAGCAGATTTCTTAGATTTAATTAACAAAAGTGAATTTTAAGTATAATCTTAAACTCCCCCNCTCAAATAAGATGTGATAAATTATTACTAGAAAAAAATGTATACGCTTATAAACAATTAAAAAAATCTCAAAAATCCCTTATTATGAGTATGACTAATCACCACTTCATTAAATTAAAATCATAATAAAATCAGTCAACAGGGTTATGTTACTACTATTCTCGCCATCAAAAAGAATAGTGTAGAGTAAGCACAAGTGTCAGTACATCTATTTTTTTGTTGTGTAAATTCTGGTATTAATATTTTAAGTAAGCTGTATATTTAAAAACTATACATATACGAGTTTTAAATATCTTTACAAAAATCGTAGTCAACATAAAACAATTTGACTTTGCAACATTTCTTTTAAATGCAAGAGCTCCAAAAGTCAAGTGGTGATTCTCAATTACAAACAACACTGTCCACTACTCCATATACAATAAGTCTTTCCACTACTTGACTTTAAGCTTTGCTTTCTCTGTATGAAAATGGAGTTTCGTAGACTTTGATTCATTTCACGAATCAATCAAAATTTGCAACTTTTTTGGGTCTTTTCAGCTAAATATAATAAATCCAAATGGAGGGTCGTAGTGAAAAGTGCGAGCAATGTGTAGGAAGATCAAGAATTGCTGCAGCAATAGCAATTGGTGTTGTTGTGGGACGTGTCTTTGCTTTCTTTTATCCCTATGGCTTCTTTTCTCCTGATCCACAAGCTCAAACTCCGACTCTTTCTAAATATAATGTTTTGGTAAGTCATGTCTCTGCACATATTTCTCTCTTACTTAAATATAGAGCTAACATGCAAAATATATTTTACAAGAGAGAGAGAGAGGTTGAATGAAAAAATCAATTAGGCCTAGAGGTTGGCCTAGTTGATTGATTGTGTCAAGCTGTGATATGTGATCAAGGAGTTGCTAGTTTAAAAATTGAGGATATTTTGGTCCAATACTGTCTTACAAAAAGTGACTTATTGTTTTAGGTTTTTGAATTATGTTTTTCTTTTTTTCTTTTCTAAAAGATGGGGCATTTAGTCATCACATGTATATTTACATGCTATTTACAATTCTAAATGTGATGATAATTGAACACTCCATTATGGCATCACTTCTACATGTGACATTTGATATAATTAATGGCCATAATGTCATTTGATCAGTGTTAAACTCTTCTATATGTACCTTAATTGTTGAAATTTAATTCATAGGTTGAGTCGTGGTCATATGAATCCACGGAGTGGATAAACATGTTGAGATCATACATTAGGAAGTTATCGGAGGAAAATGCAGAGTTGCAGAAGCAGCTAAGAGAGCTAAATGAAAAACTTCAGATTGCCGAGGAGGGAAAATGTCGTGTGCATGAGCAGCTTGTCGTGTTAACTGAACCTAAAAAAGCTGGACCATTTGGCAAAGTCAAGAGTATGAGAGCTAACCCGCCTGTCCTTCCTGACGAATCTGTGAACCCGAGACTAGCTAAGATATTGGCAGAGGTTGCAGTTGAGAATGAGGTCATAGTTGTACTTGCCAATTCAAATGTGAAATCGATGCTGGAAGTTTGGTTCACCAGTATAAAAAGGGTGGGTATTCCCAATTATCTGGTCGTCGCACTGGATGATGTGATTGTGGATTTCTGCAAGGAAAATGCGGTCTCCGTTTACAAAAGAGATCCTGATGAGAGAGTTGATTTTATTGGCAAAACTGGAAGTAACCAAGCCGTGTCAGGACTAAAGTTCCGTATTCTGAGAGAGTTCTTGCAGCTTGGTTACAGTGTCCTGCTTTCTGATGTTGACATTGTGTATCTGCAAAATCCATTTGATTATCTATACCGGGATTCAGACGTGGAGGCCATGTCAGATGGGCACAATAACATAACAGCTTATGGTTACAACGACATTTTTGATGAACCTGACATGGGTTGGGGTCGATACGCTCATACAACGAGGATATGGGCTTATAATTCTGGTTTCTTTTATATCCGTCCAACGATTCCTGCAATAGAGCTCTTGGATCGCGTTACTGATAGGCTTACTGGGGAGCCAAATTCTTGGGACCAGGCTGTTTTCAATGAAGAGTTAGCCTTTCCATCACATCCTGGATACATTGGACTTTATGCTTCCAGGAGAACAATGGATTTGTATCTGTTCATGAATAGCAAGGTCCTATTCAAAACTGTAGGAAAGGATTCGAAACTGAAGAAGTTGAAGCCAGTTGTGGTTCATATAAACTATCATCCGGATAAGCTTGACAGAATGAAAGCAGTTGTTGAGTACTATGTTAATGGCAAACATGATGCTCTGGATGTATTTCCGGATGGTTCTGATTTCTGAATAGTAGCTACTAATTCCCACCTTTTGCTGGATCAATGTGTAATGTCAACATCCTATCATCCTGTATTTTGCTTCTCTGTTCTAAATATGTCTCTTTGCCACACAGGTTCACTGAATAATAATGCAAATAGTATTCTTATCCCACATTTTATTCCTTACTAAATAATACGTTGGTTGGTTCCTACTTATACCGGAATTCGTAATATAGCGTTTGATTTATGATTTTGCTTAACTTATGGGATTTCACTTTAGTCATATAAAGATAATATTAATTTATGCAGGATTTTATGCTGAAAACCAAATGCTGTATAAGTAAGAAGATTAAATTTTCTTTAACTTAAAACAAAACGACCACTCAACTTGTTTGGATGGTTATCATACTGTATTGTTTTGATGAATACATTGTTTAGATAGATTGTATCGTTTGCCTTACATAACATGGTACTTTTCCTCGTTACATAACACAAATTTAACAATACTATATAATAAAATTTAAATAACAATCAAAATACATATTGTATTTAAAATACCATTATGTATAATACAATAGGTAACAACCATCCAAACAAGCTGTAAGTATCACTTAAAACGTTACATAGGCTTAGAGGAGAAAGCATAGCTTAAATTCTCATCTAAAACAAATTTTCTTTGTGTTTATTGATTTATTCGAGCAGACTTATATGTCCACCGGGCATTTAATGGCTAATGTTCATTGCCAGAAATTTGCACTAAAAATGATTGTATCGAAGTGTCAATGGAAAACCACAAGCAAACCAAGAAGAACAGACATGAAAAATTGTGGAGTTCAGCAGATACTTTTTGCTAAATGCAGATTACAACTCTTTTTTTCCCAAGAGGACCAACAATCAATTCATGTTAGATGGGTAAAGGCAACATGATCTAAACGCTGGCAAAACCATATCACAAATCAACATTAGACCTTATTTAAATTCACAGTCAGCGACTTAAAATTCTGAATCCACATCTATTTATTTGTAGTAGGAACAGAATCGCCTTGAGAAGTCGGAGTTTTAGGATTCATATTGATATTATCACCATCACCATCTTGATTTTCACCATTGTTATGGGGAAGCTTAAAAAAGAGATAAAAATGAGATCCATCTTTGACCCCATGTTCTGCAAGGGGGAGTTCATCATCATTCAACATGAAAAAATCACCACCTGCATGCAGCATTAGGATGAGACGATTCTCAGGAAGATTTTCTTGATTCCCTATTTCTCTTTTCAAATCTGCCACTGTGATATCTTTGCCTACTTGAATGTGAAACAATGTTCCTGTTAATATTTCTATCACCAAATTCATTTTTTTTCATTGTTTTGAGAGTGAGAGACAAAGAAGATACTTAGAAAGATAGATTGCATTCTGAGGAGTCTGTTAGCATTTGCATTGCCTGAGGAATAGGTAGTTGTGAGAGTTGGAAATCAAGGGAATTTTAGAAAAAATACTAGAGCAGATATAGAATTTTAAGTTAATTGGCAATGTAAATTTTTTTTACACTATCAGTATAATTATTATTTTTGATAGGTTATCAATGCTTATCTAGTTATCTTATAATAGTTAGTTACCATTTTAAATAAATTAATAACTAATACTTATCACATAAATTTATCTGTACTTATTTTGTAATTGATTTTATTGTATAAAAAACTTTTACATTACAACCTTTATTGTAATTAAAATTAAAGGTTGCAACCTTAATTTCTACGGGGAAACGTGGTTATACCAAAAAAGTGTAGTTACCGGAGGTATTTTCACTAGGGGGCATGCATCCCGACCCTCAAATTTGTCAAGTAGGTATACATTTTTGTTACAAATAGGTATTTAATTGTTAACCATTTCTACATGGTCAATCTTGAATTATTTCAATTTCTTTGAATAACTATTGTTCTATGATTCTATACACTAAAGTCAACCAATGAGAAACCCAAGCCATGGAGGATATAATATTTTAATATTTAGAACTCGCAACAAGTAAGATAATAACATTTAATTCTGAAGTATAATTTTGATTTTACTGATTTTTGCTCTATTGTATTATAATTTCTAAATTTCTCGTTGGTCATTAAATACCTTTTCAGTTGATGAAGATTTCTTTGATGATAGATGACTAATGAAATTAGTTAATATGGTTTAATGATTTGTCGCAGAGTTAAATCTTTTCAATTTTTTATTAATGTTTTTAATTTAGTTAACAATATATAATATTCGGCAACAATATATCGCTACAGACAAACATTTCTCATGATGCCATCTAATAATGCCATAACAAAGAATATCATACTTTTAAATAATTAAAAGATTATTACAAAAACTAATTACTCTTCACGCCTCATACAAGAGTTAAATTAATGTATTTTTTATTACTAACTTCATTCTCTTTCATTTTGTTAAAAGTTATTTTGAGAGCGAGAGATCAACAAAAAGAGAAACAGGAGGAGAAGGAATATAGGTATTGTTTCCCAGGAGTTGGCAGTCGTTGCACAATCTAGCAAATGCAGTCCTTCACTAAAAAAACAAAGAGTCATTCCACCATCACCAATTCCAACGTAACGAATTAAATGAACGTTATCCATCCAATGAAGGAATTAGTCTATCCACAGGGCGTAATTAAAATTCTGAATTCATATTTATTTATTGTGTAGTAGAAACAGAATTGCCTTGAGAAGTCGGAGCTTTAGGATTCATATTAACATGATCACCTTCACCATCTTAATTTTTCAGCATTGTCACTATTATGAGGAAGCTTTAAAAAAGGTAAAAATGAGAGCCATCTTTGACCCCATACTCTGCAAGAGGACTTCTCATCACTCAACATGATAAAATCACTATCTGTATCCAGCATTAGGATGATACGATTCTCAAGATGAATTTTTTGGTTCTCTATCTTTCCTTTCAAATTTGTCACTGTGGTATCTTTGCCTACTTGAATATGAAACAATGGTTTTCTTTCATTTCTTTAAGAGTGTACTCTAAAATTAGGAAATATTTCACAGAAATTGCATTCTCGAGGCGTCTGTTAGCCTTTTGCATTTCCTAAGGAATAGGTAGTCATGCGAGTTGGAAATCATAGGAATTCAAAAAGTACCGGAGTTGATATACAGTTTAAGTTAATTGACAAAGTAAAATTCTTTTACACTATTAGTCTAATTTAAAGTTTTATAGTAATTGTCATATTAAATAGGTCATCAATTAATGCTTACCTATTAGCGAAAGACAATATTTGTTAAACTTAAAATTCTGCCCATAAGTAATCGAGGACAAAAATTCAAGACCATCCACTTTGAGGATTATTTGTATACTTCACCCTAGGGGGCATCCCGTCCCTCACATTTTAACTTTGATTATTACACACACACTCACATTTTAACTCTTAGTATATATATAATATTGTTATATAAAGTTTTTAAAATTTTATGGTAAGCTTTCGTCTCAATATTTGCACTCAGGTGAGAAATTACTGAACAGAGAGAAAACCATTCTCTCTCCACTCTCTAACCAAATACCACCAACATGGCCACATCTCCACCACTGGCGGAGGACCCATCCTCCAAAGTACCACCGGAACCACCGGATCCCCCTACAAGCTCTTCCCAATTTGAGATGGAGGAAGACACTCCTCAAAAAAATTCTTTCAAAGTGATCCTACTAGAAAGGAATTGGATGTCCACCACTTCTTATGATCTAACCCAGTCCCCTCCCCTGTTTGAACTAAATGCGGGGAATATCCCCATCCTTTGCCAAAAGAAGATAAGAACAGACTATATCTTCCATGGAGATACTCTCTAATAGTAAAACTATTTGGGAAGAAAATCCCCCATCAGCTTCTGCGAGCAAAGCTCGTACATCTTTGGAAGCCTATTGAATCCTTAACGCTAATCGACCTAGGTTATGATTTCTTCATCGTCTAATTCAACCTAGAGGTTAGAATCAACAAAGTCCTCACTGAGGGAGCTTGGTTTGTCACGGGCCACTTCCTATCTATACGAAAATGGGAACCAAACTTTGTCCCAGCTGAATCCAAACTCGCTATTACAGCAATTTGGATCAGACTCCCACAGCTCCCAACAGAGTTCTATGACAGAGTGATTCTCGAGCAAGTGGGCAATAGGGTGGGCAAACTGCTGAAGATAGATACATGTACCTCCTCCACTCTTAGAGAGAGATACGCTAGGATTTGTGTCCAATTTCCATTAGACACTTCAGTCACCATAGCGTTCATCATCAAAACCTACAACCAACCCATCCTATATGAGGGTGAAGGGATTCTCTACAAAGGGTGTGGGAGAATTGGCCACACACTTTGTCACTGTCCATTCACGCCCAAAATCAACGAAGCCAACAGCCCAACTAATCCAAATCCTACATCTGTAACTATAGGCACAACTCACGCCGAAGACTCTCTATGGCAAACGGTTCCATTCAGGCGAAACAAAAAAGGAACCCACAGAGGAAACCACTTGCCAAAGCCAGTCAGAGCATCACAGGAGCAGCCCACAATCTAGGTAAGGTGGTATAGTGAAGCTACAAGTACGTTTCTCAACCTTGAGGCCACCACTAGTGGATGCGGCAACCCTTAAACTAACAAACATCTTAATCTAGGGGAAAATTGAGGCCCTATGGGTTAGGCCACAGAGATCCAACAAGATTCTATGTCTTTTAGGCCCAACTCCGATAATGGCCCATCATCACAAGGGGGCCTTATCAAAATATGTGAAGCCCCATATGCAAAGCGGACTGGGCTGAAAAGGCATTTGCACAAGGCAATCTTAAATTCAAAAGATTCCACTTTAGGGAATATCTCTATTCCTAAAAATCCAAGTCCAGTATACGAATATGGGATCCCAAATGATAATATCCCTCCCAAATCAGGTACTCTGCCACATTTAAAGAATATCTCTTCTTTGGAAAAGTATCCAGCATTAGCACAATCACATTTAAAGAATATCTCTTCTTTAGGGAATACCTTCATTGGAAGGTAATTGATTACCTTCTCTCTCACGACGTTGCCTCTTCCGGTGAAGGTAATCAATTACCTGTTACAAACCCAAGAACCAATACTAGCTTTGAGGTGACACCCCCTGTCAATCCCTCATGATTATTTGCAGAAGGGAAAATCATC